AGGCCTGGGCCTTTTAGCATGCTAAGGTGAACCTTACACATGATTATAAATGATTAACTTAATAAAAACATGCGCTACTCTTCTTTATTTGGGGAATATTAACTGATCTCACTGAAGAATGACTCTAGAGCTTAATGTTCAACAGAGAGTTTTAGTAGAGGCTTTCCTTGCATGTAGTTACATTGCTCTGACTGTAAATATCCTGCTTTGCTTTTTCCAGAGGCCCTCACCCTATTCTGTTTAAGCCCATGGTCGCTGTCTCAGGGACAATGAGTTATATTCCCTTCTTCTTTTAGATGTCAACAGGTTAAATAAAATAAAGCTAAAATTTCTACTAACAATTCTTTATTTTTATACAATTAGCTTTTTAGAATGTCTTATTAAGTTCTGCTGAGAACTGAGATGTGATTCTCAGTCTTCCATATCTGGTCCATCCTTCCTCTATGTAACTGAATTTAGGAAAAAAGTAGTGGTGTGTATCTTGAAGTCAGGAACTTCAACGTCATTGAGAATTTCCACAAAAAAGTATTATGCTGGCCTGATTAATAGGGGAGGTGGGGACTGGACATGAACTTGTCGCCAAGGAAACCATGGAGATTTACTGGAAACAGGGATTTGACTAAGACTTAAGACAGGGAGTATGTCATCCAAAGAATTTCTTAGAACTGAAGAATTGGTTTAATTTTCAAAAAATTTAAACATAAAATAGAGTTGATATACAATATTAATTTCATTTCAGATGTACAACATTGTGATTCAACAATTAATTGGTTTCATTTTCAACCATATATTGAAAGAGGATGTTTGTGCCCATAGTCATGGTTTTTGCCCCCTGAATAAGCACTGGATGCAGACCTGGTAAAGCCAGGGTCAGCTTACCTGTGGCTTTATGATTGGAGGCCAAAGAGAGCTTAGCTTTCTCCAAGGAGGAAGCAGCCACAGCATGCTAATCAAGCTTATGAGCTCACTTGGGGAGGTCGTAGAAGGATACATTGAGGACGAGTGCCTGAGGACAGCAGAAAATCATACTTTTTTTTTTTAAGAAAATCATACCTTTTTGTCCCCAAGCAGCAGAGCGTAGGGCTGGGATGACTGCCCTTTACATCCCTTCACTAGAGTTCTGCCTCTTCTACATAGCTCCTCAAGATACACTAACATGTTTGCTGTGTACTGACCACTATGCCTTGCCCTTTCAGACATGCTATTTGATTTAATCTTCACAGCAACCTAGTGAAAGCCATCTTCTATCTCATCCTTAAGAAACTGTGTCTGAAGGAGATTAAAACACTCTGCTAAACTTACACAAGGTAGTAACTGAAGGAGCCAGAATTTGAACCCAGCCCTTCCTGATGCATTGCCCACATTCTTTCAGTCACACCAAGATGCCTCTCTCAGTTTTGTAATCTGTGACTCTTAAGACACCAGACCTCTAGGGTCAGGGGGCTAGTGGAATTCTAATTTTTAGAGGCTTTGCTAAATGCTCTCAAACACTTTATTAAACACCATGTGCAATGATTCAAATACTCATTGTTCTTTCAGCAGATAATTCAAAACACACAAAGGCTAAACTTGTAAATTAAAATTTCATTCCTGCTTTGATTATGGACTTCTTGAGTGTTAGACTCATATGAAACTTAGAATTCTCCTTCAGCCTAGCATTGAGAGTTGCATATAGTAGATATTCAGCAGATACACATACTGAGATAATATAAACAATTTTATAAAGCTCTAAAAATCAGAGACTGAGAAAAGATATTTACAACTCATACAATTAGCAAAAGAATAGTTTCCAGTAAAATATTAAACTTCAATAAAGCAATAAGAAAAATTACCCAATAAAAAAATCAGCCATGCACTGACAATTCTCAGAAGAATAAGCACTAAAGGACAAGAAAAACAGAGTAAAAATGTTCAACCCCACTATTAATATGAAAGTATAAATGATGAAATGAAAATATTTCCATACCAATGTGCTCTAGCAAAAATATTAAAGCATGACAATATTACAAGTGGAAGCTTTCTTAATATATGATATTTTTCTACAGCAAAATAAGTGAATACAATTTAAACTTGTTTGAGTTATAAGGGTGGCAAGTGTAGAATAATTGTGAAAAATAGTAATGCAAAAATGAAAGTTTTACAAACTTTTATGTAGCACACAAAAAAAAAATAAGAAAACTTTCTCTGGAAAAATCAAGAAGATATTTAAATAATTCATAAAATTCAAAATTATAATCCATGTAATCAGTCAGTAGCAAAACTGGAATTTTTTATGTAGTATTATATATTTATATATGTAGAAAATATTACATATCAACTATGCATGAGATTTAAGTTTCTCAAATAGGAAACTGAGTAAGCAGTTAATGAAACATGGTGGACAGAATCACAGAGACCATGTCAAAACTTTTCCAGGAAGCAAACGGTAGTTTGGAAGTTACAATACTTACCTAAAAATGAAGAGCCTCTGAGAACTATATTCAAATTACACTCAACATTTGATTAACATTAGATAAACCGAAGCATTTTTAAAGGAGCTCAGGTTATCAAAATAACCAAAAAAGATATAAAACTGTATGTCTACATATTTGGAAAATTGTTTAAGTCACAAAAATATTGATATCAAAATTCTGATTTGGAATCAGAAGTGTATTTCCAGGGCTGATACTGTGTTTTCCATTGCAAGTTACACAGAGACACCTGAGAATGCATTCAGGGTGCTTACGTCAAACTGAATCCATGTTCATCAAGATGTTCTCATCTAACATGGAAAAAGCAAATAGCACATATCATTCGAAATGACAACAGTCTAGTTATCTATAATGACATCCAAGTACAGCAAATATTACTTAATGAAAAAACAAATCTGTTATTCCTAAGTTGATCTGACATGATGGAGGAGTCATTTATTCAATAGAGGCAAGGTGAACAGAAAAGGTTTTTTTTCTATTTGCTACATAAGCCTCAGTGCTAATGCCTTGGGAACCCATCCATATGGACATAAAGGTCCCTACAGTTGCTTTGTGACTGTATCTGAAAAGTTTTCTCTCTTGCTCTATTTTGAGTCAGTTCTTCCAGGTATGAAAGCACAAAGAAACATATAGATTTTGTCAGGACAGAATTTGTATAGAGTAATACAGAAAAAATAAGTCCTATCAGCATAAAATATCCACAAACATATCAACTCATCAGTTCCTGTGATAGGCAAGGGTTCTTCTAATTTTCAGTAAATAATATCCTATATGATCATGTTGAAGAAACATATTGGCATAGGTTTTCATTAATATATTCTGCATTAATACATTTGTATAGGTCCTTGGTTGTAAACAAAAATTAATGTGGGACTTCACACTTACTCTCTTCTCTATTTAACTTTGTTCTTTCGAATGTCACAGAAGAAACTCCCTAACTGCCACACCCCTGCCACCATAAATAGAGCAATCTAGTGGCAGAGTAGAAAGATGGAGTAACTACTCTGCCATTCACATCATGAAAGATAGATGTAAGAAAGTAATGCCTAAAAGCCAAGAAAACAAATGACATCACAAGTCCTTTTGGGAAGTAATTAAGATATAAGTAACAACAAATGAAATGGTTGAGAAGCACAGTTCCTAGAGATACTACTCATCAGATGAGGCTTTCTGAAAGCTTCAGACCCAGCCTAGAATTTGTAATCCTAGAGTTCCAGTGACTGTACAGTGTTAAATCTGAATCAACTAATTAGTAACCCAGACATCTAATGAGGTGTCTAGATTGTACATAACTAGTACTGTTCTAGATGCACAGGAAATAAACTAATTCATTACAAGAAATTAATTCACTAGGCCCTAATACATAGGGCATTAGGATTTGATTCTCTTGCAGAACCATAGTAGAAAAAGGCTGTTCTAGAATGTGTTTGTGAAATACCTTAATAAGTGGAGATAATTAACCATCAATGTGGCAACCAGATGACCTTTAACTACAAATCCATCATTATGGGAACATAGTAAGTGTGGATTTCTGAAAATCCTTGCTTAACTGTTAGTTCTTTTAATCCTCTGTTCAGAACACCATTAAGAATTACTAAAATGCAAAGCTTTTCTAGCCTACCTGAAAACAGAAGCTAAAAAGACAAAGGAGATACATTTTAAGTTTTAGTTGTAAATTCTTGTCTAACTATTGGTTGCACAGAACAGTAATCAGAAAGCAGATGACTGAGGAATTATACAAGTTCAACATAACAAACTCTCAGAAACAAGTGAATACTCAAAAAAAAAGTGGACTTCCCCCAGACATGTGAATGTTTACCTGATCCTACCATAGACTTACTCCTTTTAAGTACCCATTATTTTTTCCATCTGAGCCAAATGTTGTTATAATCAAAATTCTTTCTTGCTCCAGGCAGAGTCTCTAGCAGAACAGCAGAACAAAAATCAAAGAAGGCATTCATTTTCAGAAGTTTGTTTGCACCACTGTCTCAAGGTTCTTCTGAAGGGCCAACCTGGACTGGAAACAAAGCTCTGCAGTGGCTGGCTTACACTCTAGGGTGAACACGTTGGCCCTTCTCCACCCAACACTGTGTCAAGGCAGACCACCTAATGTAACAACCCCATAAATGCACGAATAAAAACAGACAAAGGTAAAAGTGGCTTCATGCTACTGCAAATATGGCCTGGCATTTATAAAACCTGTACTTTTAGTTTAAAATGTATGTCAAATTTTGTGGAACACTGAAAAAGGTTTCTTCTCTACTTCATAGTTCTTAAATCTGCCCTAAAACCTTTCTAAGGTTCTAATAGCAACTCTCAAGCTGATTGTTCACAGATCTGTTTATTACATTACCAATTATACTGACAACTCCAGTGAGAGAACTCACAAACTCCCAAGGAATGACTCAAGGGCTTTTAAGACACTGTGGAGAATCTCTAGCATTTTCAGATAGTGCTGTATATAATACACAGAACAAAATTCTTAATGTGTGAATAAAATGTGGTCAAAATATAAGTCTACACTGAACATATGTGGAAAAGATATTTAATTGTAAAATAGAAAAGTAGGCCAGAGTACAGTTTTAAGGGTAATTGCTTCTTTATACAGTATAGGTAATCTAGAAGGGTCTTCCGGTTAAACATTTTCATAAAGCAACTAAACATTAAAAAATAAAGCAAGAGAAAAGGGCTTGAAGTTATGTTCTACAAAAAAAGAATGAACAGTATGTCAGAGTTTAATGTCCATACATTGTGGAATTCAACAATATTGTGTGATGAGAGTAAGTTGCAGCACACATGTAGAGCTTTCACAGGGAAAAGTAAGTTATGTTAGACGTATCTATAGCATCAATGTAGTACAAAAAGTTCTTGTTCTACATACAAAAGCAATTATTTTTCCATAAGAATAATTTCCTGGGGGGGAAATGAGTACATGAAATATTTCAGAAACCCATATGCTTTGAGTTTTCCAAAAACATTATCTTAAAATCCAGTGCCTTAAAGTGCTTTCATGTGGAAATCATGATGGAAGGCACAGAATACAGTTTCACGTCCCCACTATGAAATTTTCAAAAAAGCATAGATTTTACAGTTTGCAAATTCAAGTTATCTTGTAAGCTGCTCCTTCCAAGAACATTGTCATTCCAATAAAACCAGCTGCTAGCTTACTTAGTTTCAATGACCTATAGAATAAAAGAGGTTTTTTTTCTAATAACTTTCATTTTGTGGGAAACACACCTATGCAAGTGATGCATTTGAAATTATAAAACATGCGGAATATGTACAAACAGAAAATTTTAAAAATATTTGCTTCATATACATGTAAATCTACTTGGGTATAGCTGAAATTGAACAAATATAAAAATTTGCTTTCTAAAAAATGTTTTCTGAGAATCTGAGACAACTTAAAGCTGTACAAAGATTTCCTGGGAGAAATCTTCTCTTCCTATAGAAGTTATACCTACAGGAGTAATTCCAGCATCAGTCTACCACATAATTATTACACAACATTTGGTCTAATCAATAACGATCACCCTTAAAACTGTTCTGTTTCTGAGAAATTAAGGTTCGTACTAAAACCAAAAGAATTCACAAAAACAGTGGCTTATTGTGTTTTTGGATCTCTTCAACAATCTTTATCAGCACATTTGGAACTGTAAAAAAAACAATAACTATTTACAGAACTCAGTTTTAAATACGTCTCACAACTTCTGAAGTAGAGTTTTATGTTACAAGAATTCAGAGCTCATGGCTTAAGTCCAATTATCAATCTGTAGTCTCTTCTGCTGTCCTATCCTCCCAAGACTGTACCTTACTGTGTACAGTTCAAGATTGTATTCTTTCTTGACCGAAAGCAAACTCAAACTACATGTTCATTTCAATTAAACAGCTTCTTTATTAGTCTGAAGACGAGTCATAGCTTCTAATTTTTGTCTGTAGGCCTCTGCTTCCTGTTCTTTCTTTAGAAGCTGCTGTCGGTATTTCTGTGCCTCTCTATTTGCTTCATCCAGCTGTTTCTGAAGAGCTTCTCTCTCCTAATTAAAAAAAAAAGTTTTTTTTTCAATTTCTGCACAAATACATTATTAATACATAAAAGCAGGCATCCCAAAAATCAGTAGCTAAAAGCAGACACATACTGGTATTTCCTAGACATACTGCCTATTCAATCAATACACAAATCATTAGAGCCCCTAATTTTGTGCTCCACAGAATGAGATAAGAGATCACAGTTTCTAACCTCAAGGAATTTATTTCCTAATTAGGAAAAGACTAACATAATGAAATGAACCCACCTGTGTACCTGTACTTTTATATGTATACTATGAAAACTAAGAAAGAGCTTTAATAAGAGGGAAATTAAACAACCATAACTCTTCAAATCTCCATCTGTGGTGTATTTATCTAAAGGTATAATAATAAAACAGTATTTATTGAGCACCCATTATTATGACTAAACCATGTGATTTCCAATAACAAGTCTCTAAGACAGATATTGTGCCCATTTTACAGATGAAGAAAATGATGCTGTAGCTTTCCCATGGTAACAGTTTCCTATGATTCTAATATGATTGCCTTTAAAACTATCTTCCTCTAGTGATAAGCAAGATTCCTCATCTCTAAAATGAAGAGTGCTGGTCTAGATTACTGTGTCCTAAGTCATACCATTTTACAAACCAATACAATACTAATTTCTCTACTGTGATTTCATTAACTTATACAGGCATAAAATGTATGTGTTAAAATTCTCAATAAACTGAGAGCTGAAACAAACCCAGGCCAACGAAAATAGTCTTCTTTCTCTTCTCCCGACTCTGCCTCTATTCAGGTGCCTCCTCAGGGAAAACATTGCAAAGAGTCGTTTCCTGTACCTCTGGTACACGCATGGCCAGAAGCTCAACCTGTCGGCCCAAGCTCAGTCTCTTTACAGAGGCCCAAGACCTCTCAGTGGGGTGAGGGCTGAGGGTAGGACTATTATTAATCACAAGAAAGGCCAGGTTCACACTGGACAAGTCTCTTGACCAGAGGAACTGTCGGTGAGGGGTCAAGCAGCCTGCTGGAGAAGAGGCCCATCGGAGGGGCTCTTCTACTGCCTCCTTGACTCTTGTCCATTATGAACACTAAAATCCCCTCCCCCTACTCACTACTCACATGGTCCACAAGGAGGAGCATATATAATACTCCTGCCTTCCCGTGATGCGGCTCCCTTCTCCACATAGGGATTGAAGCTGGAGCCAATCTTTATTTTTCCCCTGGGTCCAGCAAATGTGGGAGTCATTGATGAAACAAGTAGTCTCAAACCTTCCAATTATACAAAATGTACAAGCAGAAGAAAGGCATGCCCCTCATCTCCAAGTTAAACATATCAAAGCCATACCCTGCTACCCCTTTTTAACCCACTTCTTACCCATACTCCAGGCAAAATGACAGAGTAGGAAAGGTCAGAAAGGACTCCCAAGAGATGAGCCTCATGTAAGCAGTCAGTGCCAGGACCCTGGCAGGAAACTGGAGAACTCTGAGTACACCAAAGGGAAGGGTGGGAGATGCGCACTGTTTTCCCGGGTGCTGAACCCCAACCTCTCGCGGGGCTACTAACAGCCACATAGAGTGTTTTAAAATTTGCACGTGTTAAGAAATTAGATCCTTTGGTAGCCAGTTTTGAATATGGATAAAAACTTGCCCTGATTTGGTAGGAAGTATTGGAATGCATTAACTCTCAGTCATTCTCTAGTATTAGCTATTTATTAACATTTAGAAACAGGAAGGAATTCACAATTATTTCAGAAGATGACAGCAAACTAAGAGACATAAACAGTCTAACAGTGAATACAGTTTAATCCTATTTTTCTTATTGCATATTTTAATTTTGATTAGATCTTAATATAAATGAAAAGATAGCTCCCTTCTCCTAGGCCAAATAGAGGCCTCATTTAATCGGCATTTCTTAACTAAATCTGTAAAATCTAAAAGATAAAAATCATTAGCACTATTCTTTGAATACATTTAATCCTCAAGGTTGAAAGCCTAGTTAAACATTGTTCAAGTTTTTTTAAATTTTTCTTTCTCAGGTATATAGGTATTTGGGGAAAGAATCTTTCTGCCCACTCACTTTTCAGATAAATAAAATATCTCATTTTACTCAGGGATCCTTTGTTTCCAAATTTATTTGTAATATGTTTACTGAACATGTATTAAATGCAAGACATTCCTTAATGGAAACAGTAACTTGGTTGTTTCTCACATGAACAGTGCAACAGACTAACATTTGGGATTCATATTCATATAGAAATGCCAAAAGCTTTGACCTTTTGCAATAAAACCACAATAAAAAGGATTCTGACACTTTAAAATAAACATACTTAGCCTACTAATAAGTAACATTGAAGTATTTTTCCTATAACCATTTAACATTGAGGAATTATAAGGAAAATGAATTCTGATAATAATCAAGATATTTATCTTATACTGTAACTCCAAAGCCAAGCAATTACTGTTACAGTAGGCAATGGAAAAATAGAGCATGGAAAGACTTGAGTTGTTTTTTTTTTTCAAACAAGATGATTGAATTCTGCTTCAGGTAGAAAAATTATCTCAACAGTTTTATCCATTTTAATATATAATTTTCTAATATTCAATTTTATTTTGTTAGCTATTATAAAAAAAAACAATGATTTCTCTGTCATACTTCAATATAAATTTTAGAAGAAACTAACATTTACTGAGCATTATTATATGCCCATCATTGTCCTAGTCCTTCACAAGCATTCTTATTTAACCCTTACAACAGTGTGATAATGTAAGTACTATTATATACTCCTTTTTTCTGACAGGGAGATTAAATAAGTGAACAAGATCACACATCAGAAAAGTATAATTCAACATAAATCTGATTCCAGACTCATTTTTAACCATTAAATTTTTTTTAAAAGAGAAAAACTGGGCTGGGTGTGTGAGCTGTTAGCATGTGTGCAAACATCAGTTTTCTAAATGCCACAGACCAAATATGGTCCTGTTTTTATAAGTAAATTTTTTTGAAATATAGCCATACCTACTCATTTCCAAATTGTATATGGCTGCTTTCCTGCTTACAATGGCAGTGATGAGTAGCGGAACACAGACCATACAGCCCATAAAGACATAAATATTTGATATCTGGCCCTTTACAGGAAAACTTTATGTTAGCCTTAGAAAAAAGTCTACATCAAATTAAACACCAGAAAACTCTGAAGTAAAAAAAAAGCAAGGAAAAAAAAAAAACCACTCTTCTCTACACTAAGCTAAAACTCCATCTACCAGAATTTCTATCTCTTTGGTTGTAGTTATACCCCAATTCATTCTTTTCTGTTATCTGCAATTATTCTCCCTGGTCTCTTAAGACTGTAAGAGGAAGCAGGCTTTACTTTGAGGAACAGAGCATCTTTGGCTGTTAGAAAAATAAAAGTACAGGCTGCATGTTCACTGTTTTAGAAATACAGTTTGTTGAACTAAGTAAGTTTATGTTCAATAAAAATTTAAGTAATTTAAAAATAATGTTCTATTAAACACTTTAAGCAAAGTACATGACAAAACTTTTTTCACCTTATATGCCAGAAGAAATCATCTGACATATCAGAAAGATATTAAAAAGATTATTAAATGATAAGTTACAGATAATGTTCAAAGGAATAAACTGTTAGTTTGTAAGAACTTCAGTGTAGTAAGTATAAATTTCAATTTTGAGGAAATAAAACAACCTTTAATAATTAAAATCATAATTTTACCAAACATTCTGGTTAAACCATGAATTGGATTCTTTTTAATTCAATAATATTTTCTTTTTGATTGTGGCCAAACATGCACTAGTCTTACACTTAAATGAATTTGGGCAATGATATCTTCTAATTGTCCTTGGTCAGACTTATGTTGCCTTCTAGTGACTTTAAAAAAAAAAATCCTCTTTTCTATGGTATCAATGCCCATAAAACCCCAAAATGGAGATATTGTTATCCTAAATTCCTACTTGGGAGAAAATAAAATTGAAATTCAGAAAGATAAGATAACTGTTTCAAAGTTCATAGGGGCAAGAGTGGAATTAAAATCAGGTTCACTTAATTTCAAGTCCAGTGTTCTTTACACTGCAGTTGCTCTCCCAAAGTTACTTAATAACAATTTTAATTTTCATTTGATAAAAAGTTAATATCAAGGGGTCATTCCAACAAGAGGATATAACTATTATAAATATCTATGTACCCCACTCAGGATCACCTACATATGTGAAACAAATACTAATAGAATTGAAGGGGGAAATAGAATGCAATGCATTCATTTTAGGAGACTTCAACACACCACTCACTCCAAAGGATAGATCAACCAGCAAGAAAATAAGTAAGGAGACAGAAGCACTGAACAACACATTAGAACAGATTGACCTAACAGACATTTATGGAACACTCCATCCAAAACCAACAGGATACACATTCTTCTCAAGCACACATGGAACAGTATTTTCAAGAATAGATCATATACTAGGCCACAAAAAGAACCTCAGTAAGTTCAAAAAGATTGAAATGGTAGCAACCAGTTGCTCAGACCACAAAGGTATGAAACTAGAAATAAATTACCCAAAGAAAAGGAAAAAGCCCACAAACACATGGAGACTTAATAACATGTTCCAAAATAATCAATGGATCAATGACTAAATAAAAACAGAGATCAAGCAATATATGGAGACGAATGACAACAATAATTCAACACCGCAAAAATCTGTGGGACGCAGCGAAGGCCGTGCTAAGAGGGAAGTATACTGCAGTACAAGCCTACCTCAGGAAAGAAAAACAATCCCATATGAACAGTCTAAACTCACAATTAACATAACTAGAAGAAGAAGAACAAATGAGGCCCAAAGTCAGTAGAAGGAAGGACATACTAAAGATTAGAGCAGAAATAAATAAAATCAAGAAGAATAAAACAATAGAAAGAATCAATGAAAGCAGGAGCTGGTTCTCCGAGAAAATAAACAAACTAGATAAACCCCTAGCCAGACTGATCAAGAAAAAAAAAGAGTCTACACATATAAACAGAATCAGAAATGAGAAAGGAAAAATCACTATGGACACCACAGAAATACAAAGAATTGTGAGAGAATACTATGAAAAATTATATGCTAACAAATTGGATAACCTAGAAGAAATGGACAACTTTCTAGAAAAATACAACCTTCCAAGGCTGACCAGGAAGAAACAAAAGATCTGAAGAGAACAATTCCTAGCAAGGTAACTGAACTGGTAATCAAAAAACTACCTAAGAACAAAACTCCTGTACCAGACAGTTTCACTGCTGAATTTTATCAAACATTTAGTGATGATCTAATACCCAGGATCTAATACCAAAACCAGGCAAAGACACCACCAAAAAAGAAAATTACAGACCAATATCCCTGATGAACATAGATGCAAAAATACTCAACAAAATATTAGCAAACCGAATTCAAAAGTACATCAAAAAGATCATCCATCATGATCAAGTAGGATTTATTCCAGGGATGCAAGGATAGTACAACATTAGAAAATCCATCAACATCATCCACCACATCAACAAAAAGGACAAAAACCAAATGATCATCTCCATAGCTGCCAAAAAAGCATTTGACAAAATTCAACATCCTTTCATGATAAAAACTCTTAACAAAATGGGTATAGAGGGCAAGTACCTCAACATAATAAAGGCCATATATGATAAACCCAGAGTCAAGATCATGCTTAACAGCAGGAAGCTGAAAACTTTTCCTTTAGGATCAGGGGTGAGGCGGGGTTGCCCACTCTTCCCACTTTTATTCAACATGGTTCTGGAGGTCCCACTCTTCCCACTTTTATTCAACATGGTTCTGGGGGTCCTAGCCACAGCAATCAGACAATACAAAGAAATGAAGGGCATCCATATTGGTGAGGAGGAGGTTGGGATGTCCCTGTTTGAGGATAACATGGTGTTGTTATGTGGGAAAAGCTAAGGAATCCACTCCAAAACTACTGGATCTAGTGTCTGAATTCAGCAAGGTTGAAGGATGCATTATTGATGCACAGATGTCTGTTGCATTCCTGTTCACTGATGATGAACTGGCAGAGGGGGAAGTTGGGAAGGCAGTTCGATTCGTAGTTGCATCGGAAAGAATGGAATACCTAAGAATAAGCCTGGCCAAGGAGGTGAAAGGCCTATACTCTCAAAATTGTGGGGCACTCTTGAGAGAGATTGGAGAGGATACCAATGGGTGGAAACACATCCCATGCTCATGGATAGGAAGAATTAATATTCTTAAAATGGCCATTCTGCCTAAAGCAGTCTACAGATTCAGTGCAATCCCTATCAAAGTGCCAACAGTGTTCTTCAACGAACTAGAGCAAATAGTTCTAAGGTTCATATGGAACCACAAAAGACCCCAAAATAGTCAAAAGCAATCCTGGGAGGGAAGAATAAGGCAGGGGGAATTACACTCCCCAACTTCAAGCTCTACTACAAAGCCATAGTAATCAAGACAATTTGGTACTGCACAAGAACAGACCCATAGACCAATGGGACAGACTAGAGAGCCCAGATATAAACCAAGCATATATGGTCAATTAATATATGATAAAGGAGCCATGGACATACAATGGGGAAATGACAACCTCTTTAACAGCTGGTGCTGGCAAAACCAGACAGCTACATGCAAGAGAATGAAACTGGATTATTGTTTAACCTCATACACAAAAGTAAACTTGAAATGGATTAAAGACTTGAATGTAAGTCATGAAACCATAAAACTCTTAGAATACAACATAGGCAAACATCTCCTGAATATAAGCACAAGCAACTTCTTCCTGAACGCATCTCCTCGAGCAAGGGAAACAAAAGCAAAAATGAACTCATGGGACTATATCAAACTAAAAGGTTTCTTTCTGTAGGGCAAAGGACACCATCAGCAGAACAAAAAGGCATCCTACAGTATGGAATAATATATTTATAAACGACATATCCAAGAAGGGGTTAACATTCAAAATATATAAATAACTCACATGCCTCAGCAACCAAAAAGCAAATAACCCTATTAAAAAATTGGCAGAGGATATGAACAGACACTTCACCAAAGAAGAAATTCAGATGGCCAACAGGCACATGAAAAGATGCTCCACATTGCTAATTATCAGGGAATTAGTTGAACCATTGTGCAAAGCAATAGAGAGTTTCCTCAAAAAACTAAAAATAGAAATACCATTTGACCCAGGAACTCCACTCCTAGGAATTTACCCAAAGAAAACAACTTCTCAGATTCAAAAAGACATATGCATCCCTATGTTTATTGCAGCATTATTTACAGTAGCCAAGATATGGAAGCAACATAAGTGTCCATCAGTAGATGAATGGATAAAGAAGAGGTGGTACATATACACAACGGAATACTATTCAGACATAAGAAAGAAGCAAATCCTACCATTTTGCAACAACATGGATGGAGCTAGAGGGTATTATGCTCAGTGAAATAAGTCAGGCAGAGAAAGACAAATACCAAATGATTTCCTTCTTTTGGGATTTAGGGGATATAGTTATATTTACGGTCATATAAGAAAAAAAACCTATGAGGACCTACGAGGTAACTCTGGTTTGGTTACACTAAGAAACTAGTTTACACTTATGAACTAGTTTGGGAGAGGGAAAAAAAAATTGAGTTCTATCAACAACTAGTCTAAATTTAATTTCCTTTAAGGATTTACAGTGAAATAAGCAGTTATTAATGTCTTTTTAAAAAGTAACTCAGTTGACAACATCCTTCCTAAGGAGCATCCTCCAGTTCAAACAGGCATTTATTTGGATTTCACTTTTTTAAGAAAAAAATTTTTTAGTCTATAGGGACATTTATGTTAGTGACTTGTGAGAATGATTCATGTGGATTTAATAGAAAATAAGAGGATGGAGGGCAAAAAACAAGACATTCCAGTGTTACCATGATGACAGGCTTTGTTACAAATTCTTCACTCACTCACTCATTCATTCATTCATTCATTCATTCAATATTTATTGAGGGCTTGCGATATATTTAAAGCAAACAATTAGACAAAGTAATACTTTGTACTTTCATTCTGGATCAAAGCAACACTGTCAGTAATATAAAAGACAAAAAAAAAAGAAAAAAGAAAAGTACACTGAATTTGTTTTGGATGACTGCAGCAAAACACACCAGGTAAAAGATTCCTTACTTCTATTTCTGCTGATTCCACCCGGTTTTCAATTATTTCAATACATTGTCTCTTAGCTGGTGGTTCTTCACTTATCACAGTTTCTTCAGCAATGTCCGTTGCTGGTACTGTTAATACTAAAATGAAAAAAATGTACATGTTACTCTATTTTCAGATAGGCTTAGTAGAAATAAAACTAGTCTTGACATTGTTGATGCAGATCATCTAAAATATGTCCCAAAACAATACTTTTAAAAAAGAGTGATTTGCTTTTCATCTGGATGTCCCTGTCTTCACCTTTTGCTTTTTTTTTTACTAAAAACTACTATTTAAATGACCTACTTTTTTTTCAAATTTTATATATATAGTCGTTCATATGGCTCAAAATCCAAACATATTTAAAAAGTATATTTTGAGACATCTCTCTCACTCCTGCTAACACATAATGACTTTTATTGGTTTCTTGTACATTGCTCTTAATTTATGTAAAAACAGATGTGTATATTCTTACTTTTCCCTTTCTTACACAAAAGGTAGCATACATACAAAACATACATTCTAACATACAAACAATAGATATGTTGCTCTGCATTTGCTTTCTTCACTTATATATCTAAGGTATCTTTTATAGAGGGCTAAGGTACATAGAAGGCTTTCTTTTATTTAGCTGCATAGTATTCCACTATGTGGATACACCATTATGAAGGTTTGTCTAAGTTAGCTTATTTTTTTATTAGGTAGTTGGACTTTGTTCCAATTTTTAGTATTTCTTTATATAAATGCAAATATATGTAAAGAGTGGCTATTCTTGCTTTGCACAGCAGTATAGGATCATAAAAATTACTGTGCCAGCTGGAACCATGCAAAGGAACCTTAATAACCAATGGGGAAATTTACAGTTCCACAGATTTTAAAGTTTTTTGTTAAGATATTTTTTAAAATGTAACTTATAAATATTAACTGAAATAAAAATACAGATCTCATATTTATTTAGTACAATTTTAAAACATTAGAAATTTTAAGAACTAAATTGTTTTCTTTTAAATCATGTCATATTATGTTGCACTTATAAATTACCTCAAGAAGAACTGAGAACCTTTTATCTGTTTCACTGGACTATCTGCATAGTCCACATATTCATGTCAGTTACACATTTTAAATTACAGAGGCTTTAAAATTTTATTTAAATTTTTAGTAGGTTCCTCTCATTTCTCTTTTTTCCAGTTTTTCTTATTCTTTTTCTTCCCTTCTCCCCACATAAATATAAACTTCAGAATCTGGTTATTCCCAGAAAAAGACTGCTGGTCTTTGTGATGGGATGAATTGTGCCCCCCTCAAAATTCACATGTTTGAGTCCTAATCCCCAGCACCTCCCCATATTAAGAGATTAGGCCTTTAAAAAGTAAAAAGGTAAAATAAGGTCATCTGGATAAGCCCTAATCCAATATGACTGACATCCTTATAAGTAAAGGGGATTAGGACACAAACACACAGACTGAGAGCTGTCCATGTGAGGACACAGCCCAAAGGCAGCCATCCTAAAAGCAAGAAGAAAAGCTTCAGGAGAAACCAAACCTGCTGACACCTTGATCTGGACTTCAAAGTCCAGTTTGAGGAGACAAACTTCTGTTGTAATTTAAGTCAGCTAAGCTGGTATTTTATTATGGAAGCCCTGACAAACCAATACAGTCTTTTTTCATATCACATTATATTTATAAACTAATTCAGGAAGAATTGAAAACTTTATGATAGTGAGTCTTTACATCCAAAACCATGAGTTTCTTTCCTTCATCAATGAGATTAGTCTGTACAGCGTGAGGTTTGGGAAACATGTTGTATCTGCTTAATACAAATACTTTGAATGGATTCTTCTTTTCTATATAATTTGAATTAGTTATTTAAAGCTTTGTGAAAGTACCTGGGCCTGATGCAAATCTTGGACCAGCTATCAGCACAGGATTTCTGCAAAGCAGGAGAGAAACGCCTCCCAGCATTTCCTCTACTGCTAGAGCAACACACTCTCCTTAGAGATGCGGTCTCTCTGTAGTGCCATACCTCCTGTTACTCTAAACCAAACCTGGTTTAAGAAAATTTCTACCTCCAGCTCTTCCCTTCCCCAGTTCCTTCACTGGCCATGAAGAGGCATGGTCTCTGTAATCCCATTCATTTTTTACAAGATTTGTGTGTGCACACATTTTTTTTCCCAGAGACTGGGTGCAAGATAATGCTTACTCATATAGGAACTTTCTGCACCTTCTCCTTCTGCTTCCTCCAGCATTCATGCCTTAGTTCATCTTGGCCATGCTTGTAACACTTTCTACTCAGACTGGGCCCTGTCTTGCTAGGAGTGTATATTTATTGCTGATTTCTTATCTTAACCCCCTTTCTTTGCTTGATGCACCAGTGTGAAGTTCCATGAGGGTTCTCTTGCCCTGGCTACAATGGTCTTAAGATGTTTTTGACAACACTACAAATACGGAATTTTGTAGTTTTCTTAGCCTCTTATTTTCAATGAGAATGTAGCTGTTGCTTTAGTTTTATCCACCTTATTATTCCCTGTAGTTTCCAAGAGGAAAAAATGGGAAAACTATCAAAAAAGCTGCTAAAAGTTGCCACCACATTCCTACTACAAGTTCTAAGTCTAGCTTCTTTTTAAGTAGCTTTTTCTTACATGGTATTTTTAAAAGCCCATAGGATATCTTAACTGCATTAAATGGCCTGGGAAATTATTGTCCAACGCTGATTTTGAATTACTTATTTAAACTCATTTTCCAACCAGAATACTTTGAGGCCAATTCCTCTCTGACAGAGAAAGCAAATTTTAATATTTGTATAAGCAATTAAGTCTGTTTCAAAAGGTTACAAAATATAACAAGGTGAAAATAAATGCTTTGCAAAACACATCACAACTCAATGAGAATTGAGTATAAACACAAACTTTATGTAAATACAACACTACCAACCTTGTTGTCCATCTGGCATCGTCACAATGATGGGCTGGCCTATTCCACTGGTTGGAATGGAGTGCAAATTTCCAAGCTGAATCCCATCTGTAACTATTGTGATGACCTGCTGACCCCCTGAACTAACTACTTGCTGAATTGCACCATCCACAGATTCTGCAGTAACTACTTCTTCTGTAGCCACTACTGGAAAAAAAATAACAATAACAATCAGTGCACATACATATAAGTATGAAAAGAAGTTGATTTTTGCTTTGTACCTTTGCTTTCTCTGCTTCTTTCTTATACAGAAAAAGTTTTACATGGTTTTTAAATGTAGTCTCCAGTAAGTTCTCCAGTCATCAATAAAAAAGCATCACAATGTGCTTATCTGTGTAAACAACTGACTACAAGTCCCGCAACTTAAACTAAGCGAATTCCAACTATCTTTGCAAGTGTGTGTTTAAATAAACAATTTATCTTCATTTAGCTATATGAGGTACAAAATTTGCAAGCTCTCCTAAGGCCACAGATATGACAAAGGTAACACCTGCGTAATAAAATTCCACAATTCAAGAGGAATTTTGTATGTTGTTATACTCCATTCACATTTCCCTATGAGCTGATAAACATTTCCATATCCAATGTAACATGGATCTTTGTATTTTTCAAGTAGATAGAATAAAGAGTATTCCCCTTTTGGATTGTTTGAGCAAGGGCTGCCTTGATAATAAATGACATAAAGATATGGGACTGTATGATAGTGAATAATACAATATATTCACATGTAAAATCCAGAACTTTGATTTTTAATATTTTATGAGAGGCTCAGAGAAGATTATGGCAGCCCAATACAGCACTCCTGGACTTCCCTGGGTAAAAATATCACAACTTAATGCTGTCAAAATCCTTCCTCATAGGCAATCCTATGCCCAACTACTGCCCAAAGGACATACAAAGGAATATTCATAGCAGCTTTATACATAATCATTAAAAAAAACTTGAAACAAATCAGATATCCATCAAAAGTAGGGTAAATAATCTGTGGTAGAGTCATGTTAGAAGACTACAGAGCAACTAAATGGACTAAATGCAAAAGATGGATAAATATGACAAAATCATGCTGAGTGATGTAAATCAGACACAAAACATATACTGGGTACTTTCCATTTATGAACCGAGCAATGATAATACAGGAGTGACCACTACAATAATTCATATGATCTGTATACTTTTCTGTATGTCATACTTCAACAAAAAAAGCATCAAAATGAATGATGACAGTAATGGATTACAACACATTGAATCTTTAAAAATCCATTTATCCATGACAATACCTCATGAAAAAGGACAAAAGGGGGGAAAGAGGAAAGATCTTCTTGACAGAAGAATGTCATCTAATCAACAAAATAAGAAAAATTATCAGTATAACCCCCAATGTATATTGACTGATTCAAGCAAGGATCATTAATAGACGTTAAAACCATTGGTAAAATGTTTTGGGGAAACGAAATACTCAGATGTTCTCAAAGTGTCACCCCAAAGATCAGTATTGAGCTATACAGGGGAAACCTGCCTAAAAAGCCTGGCAGTACCCACTCTCACCAAGCAGTCATTGAGGACGGCCTGACATTATGTGCCTCCTTGTGTGATGAAACAAGACATTACAAAATTTCACTTGTGTCTTCCTGGAAATGTGTTACCTGAATCTAACTATTAAGAAACAAATGAATCCAGAATGTGGGTGATCCTGTAGACAACTGGCTTAGACTACAAAGATTTCAAAATGTTACAAAGAACAAGGGAGGCAGTGGGATTGTCCTAGATTGGGGGAGACTAAAGAGACACAATAATTAAATACAGTGTATGGATTCTGATTGGATCCTGTATGAAGAACAAACAGTTATAAGGGACATTTGGGAGATAACTGGGGAAACTTGTATACAGATCATATATAAGACAATGTTACTACATTAATGTTGATGTTTTTAGGAAATACAGTGGAGCTGTATGTAGGATGCTGCTGTCCTTGTTCTTGGGAGGTACATGCTGAAGAGGATGAAATGTCATGAGGTCTATAATCTACTTTCAGATAATTTGGCAAAATAAAAGTGTGTGTGTGTGTGTGTGTGTGTGTGTGTGTGTGTGTGTGAACAGGCAGGTATGTAAAGATGTTAACTATTGGTGAATAGAGGCTAAAGGTATAAAGTTCATCCTTCAATTTTATGTTTGAAAAAAACATAAAAAAGTGTTTTAATATAACTAGCTCTGAAAAAAGAAATGACATAAAAACCATTTTTAAATGACGGGTTTTTTTGTTATTCAAGACAGTGCTTTACAAAAAGTGTAGTTAAGTAAAACCCTGATCTCCTGAACTCATGCTGCTGTTCAGATACACAGCTGCCCTGAACATGCTGAACCTGCTGCCAAGTCCCAGGAGAACATCACGGCTATCCATGACCATACGATTTACTAAAGATAGAGAGGCCCTAAATATATGAACTCCTGAGAAAAGGCAAAATAAGTATTGGGACTTTAGTTGTCAAGGATGTACACTTGGCAACAGGCCCTGACTACAACCCTGTTACTGTGTTATTTGGTAATCAAGGGTCACAATACAAACCACAGAAGATATTACTCAAAATGCAAACAAGCTTTATGTATTGAGTTCTCTCATTTTTGTTTGTCTTAAACTATAATTAGGCTTTATCATCAAGCACTTAAAAAAATTTCAGGAGGATATTTATAAAATGAAATGTAGGGCATAAAATAGTAGTATGTTCAATAGTACTAATAAGGTTTTAAAACCCATTAACTATTGCTTTGATTTTTTAAAAAAAATATCCATATGAAAAAGAAATGTTCACTCTGGTTGAATGCTAACTACAAGTAGAAAGTATTTCAAAGCATAATCATATGCAAGAAATTTCTGAGATCACACACATAATTAAGGCACAACTCAAGAACTTTCATCTTTGCACTACTTGCAATGACTGTCATTAAAATAATAGAGTTCTTGCCTTTTATCTAAAAAGCTTTCTTTTTAAGTTGTGTTACAGTAAGGAATTTAAGAAAAATTATAAGGAAACAAATTACAAAGGAAGACAACGTACCCCCCAGGAACACTAAGAACAACCCAACAGTGAAATGTTGAAACATATCAGAATAAAACAGAAAGCCTAAAAACTTTTTTTAAAGGACTATTACTTTTTAAACAAACATAGACATATCTTCAAATGTAACCCCCCCCCAAAAAAAACTAATGAACATGCATTAATTTAATTCAAAAATCAAGATGTAATATACAAGGAGAGCTTAGATAATCTATAGCATC